TCCATCTTTTCTATGTGGACTGGGCTCTCTGACGGCCCCAGTAAATCATAAAAAGACCGTCATATGTCAGGGCATTCTCGGACTAACCAAAATGTGAAAATGACAGGTATTGGCCGATTTCATGACCAGTTATTTATTGGTGGCTGACAGTGATATTTCCATATACAGCGCCTGAAAGGATGTATAACAGTAAACAGTGCATACTCGATTTGAGAATAGAACTAACTCATTTTATGGATTTCTTCCTTGGTGCGGATAGCGGAGATGTTGATATGAAAGGCATGTGAAGTTGATGGGAAATAATCTTGAACTGACTCTTTGGAATCACTATATGATACTAATATCTGGACAACCGTTCAGTCTAACATAGAAGAAGTCATACGAAATTCTAAAATCCAAAATATCATTTCGTATAAAATATATACTAAATGATTACGATACAAACATCACAAACTTCTTTTAAGTTGTACAATGTATCGTCCCAATGAACAGAGAGAGCAATTGAGAATAAATAAAGCTACTTGATTTTTCCTGGGAGAAAATAGTTGTATCAAGAGACATATTTAACTGATTTATTGATATCAGTATAAAACTGTAAAACTGATTGTCCTTAAATTCAATGATCTACCTCCTCTGCAAGCTTGAACAAATACCAATCTTGGCTTTTCATCTAAACCTGGACAATGCACTGAATCAAACACTCCTATAATATCCGCAAGATTAACTGGTATATTGTCGTCTCCGTAAATGTATTCGCCCTTTCCATGACTCATTAAAATCAGAACCACACATTCAATTTCATTCCAGTTCTTAATATCATTTCGTTCTTTTTTCAAAAACATAACCATTTCCTGCAGAATAAAAATGTAAACTAATAAATCAACATGTGCTAGAAAATGCTACTTTAAATAAGTCGATAAAATGTGATGTAATCAACAACAAAACAGTCCCCAATCCAATGAATTTTCCTGTCTTTAATGATGTTCAAGCTAGCTTCAAATAATACACTTCATGAAAATATTCAAAAGTTATCAGCGTACAATCAACTAGAAATGCACTTTACTATGAGTAGAAGGAAAACTCCGTTTAAAAAGTTTAGAATTACAAAGGAAAACACAATCCAGGATGAGAATGTACGAAGGTGCTGGTTTCAACGTCTGTTTTGATGTTATATTTGCATTCTTCGGTTATCTGTTTCGACCTACACTGGCGAGACATTAATTTTCGAAATGTACATCAGGTACATTATATCAAGTTAGGCATATTGTAGGATTATGTTTTGCTTACGTATGCTTAGCAGAACTTTTTGAAAATGCGTAATGAGGTAAATCTCACTAATAATAATGACTTTTATACAGTGTGTGACGATTTGTAGCAAAATAATCAGTAACAGATGTTTCATTTGACAACTAAATACTTTATTAAAATCTTTAAAAGATGAGATATCATGAATGGAATTATATGGCATCTAAAATTTTAAAAATTGATAATTTCCCAAATTATTTCATAATTATGTTACCTTTACTGTTAAATGAACAAAAAGTTATAATCTGTACACGTCATCGCAGAAACGTCAATTATGTCAACATTTCAAATTTAGAATGGTTGACCTAAATTTGCCAATATAAAAATGATGGGGTATGATTTCCAATGATATCCACAAGAGACAAAAATGACGTAGATGTAGCAATTACAGGTCATCGTACAGCCTTCAACAATGACAATTGTTTGTCATAGATTCTGGTACTGAGATGACTGATTATGTCAATTTCGAGGTATAAGTCTAGAAATGAGGCGGAGGAAGCCGTGGCTGTTGTTTCATTAATTTCTAGTTCTGGAGGATATATTAATGGAACCCAATCAGAAAAATTCGGAACAACTAATGTTTCAATTTGTCTTCGTGACATAAATAAACAAGGTAGATAATTGTTTTTGAAATTGCAACTGAAAAATCATCAGTCGAACAAATCCAGACAACACAATAATCAAAACGAAAAAGGACGAATTGAGCCGCCACAGATAGAAAGAAAAACTTGTTTCCTAACATATTTTTACCAAAACGTTAAATATTTCTCATTGAAGAAGATTATTCCAGAAGCGTGCGTGATTGACAGTACAAATTGTGAGAGTAGTGAAGATATTGCTTTTGATACTTTAATACATTCTACGATATAATCCTATGAAACAGAGAGTTACTTTACAATTGTTAGAGTATTGCCTTTTTTTTGGTCATCTTTCATATCAAAAATTTACAAGCAATTTTAGAATAAAAAATAGAAGATATAAATAATCGTTGTTGTTACCTGTGCTGTTAAATCAGTCTTTGTTACAACTTCAAAATGCAGTTGATGGAATAACTCTGTGAGATTTTTTACATCGACGCTGGAGCCTTCTCTTTTCAGATGTTTTGCTGCTTTCGAGAATGTGTTACTGATCATGAATACCTTCCCTCGTGTTTTACCATGAAGTTTATAAACATCCTGTAAAACATTTCTTTATTAAATAAATATTTTAAATCAATTTTACTTTTGAATGTACATTTGTTTAATATGCATTCAATTTTTCATCGTTTTATGTATTCTGCAATAATAATACGACATTCCTTTGAATTAAAAGTCTAGATACAAATAAATAAAACCATTCATTTTGGTTTGGAATCAACGAAATTGGGAGTAAATATAGTTCATCATGTTGATACACTTGTGATAAAATTAATGTATTTATTGGGAGTTTTGTTAGCATTTGACAAGAAAATTTCTGCAATACTTGGTTTATATCAACATTTGCTCATGGAGAGGAAGTTTTTTTTTTCTGTAAAAGGTTAAAAGATACATTGTAAAATATTTTGTATATCAACTACCAATCAACCACAGGTTTGACGGACAGGCGATGGCAACTAGAGTTGCTGGTGCAACTGGTGACGCAGAATAATAGAAAACATATTAACTTTTCGGGATCAGAAGTAACGGCAATTACATAACAAAGGATTTCGAAATCCAAAAAAAAAGTGTTGCAGTTTATTTTAATTGGAAAATATTGGGTATTATACATGTTATATGACAAAGCCATCAACAATTTCACATTTAGTTTTTGATTCACATATTGGCATGATTGGTGCTCTTTATTTTTTATCTACCTTCTTTGCATATTTAATTACATACATCCTTTTTATAATCATGCATTAGAGGACTCTTTGTGTCTTTAATTGTAAAAACTCCGTGTTTTTCCATTTCAGCTTGTTCGTCTGTCGATGGTGGCCATGCTGTAATACAAAATGTTAATTGTACATCATTAGAAGACCAAGTACATTATTACGTTTATACATAGAAAATTGTCAAGTAACTGTTATTTCGTTTATTCTGTCCTTTTTGCAATTGTGAGATGCTTGCAAATAAGAATCAGCTCATATTCAGTGGTATTATCTTGAAATACACTCCCTTTCTGACAAAATTGTAAGAATTTGGAAACTCTGGTTAAATTATCTCTTAATGTGGTACTTTATTTTATTTTAAATTATGCTTGAGGTTTTTTTTTAACAAATATTATTGAGTGAATGCCATAAAATAAGTGTTGGATGAAGGGATGGGTAACCTCTGCGGTCCGCAAATTGTCAAAATAATATCATAAGGACCTATGAGCTACGGTTTCGCAGCTACCTCTGTCTGTGAAGTGTTAAGACTATGCTTTCTTCGTTTTTGATGTTCCATTCTATGAGCCCTTTTTGTGGAAATTACACAATTCAAGTGCTTATTAAACTGCAAATCAAATTGCCCTTTTTCAAGCTTTAAAGAATCAATATTCAGTATGTACCTTGTCGGACATGGTGAATATGGCATAAAATATAGTTAAACCCCGCCGTATTCTGAGCGTTCCTTTCCCAAGTCAGAAGCATGTAGTTCATTGGTTGTCATTTGTTGCTGTTTTAAATTGAGAGTGGAAATGGGGAATGTGTCAAAAAGACAACATGTCGGTGCCTTTTGGAGCTTGCTATGTGTTTTGGGGTTTTGTTCATTGTTGAATGTCCTACGGTAACCTATAGTGTATTTACTTCTATGGCATTTGGTCCCGGGTGGAAAGTTATATCATTGGCAATCATACCAAATCTTCATATTTTGATATGGGTCCTGTAATTCAACTTAAAAATATATTAATCAACATTTTGTTCGAAGTGTGTTCTTCACAGAAAATCATAACTTTTAGCGCTGTTTAGTCCATTTTAAATTACAGAAATTATGTTTGTTTGTACTTCGGGTAAACCATGTGTGTCTTTGTTAGTTTTACTGTGCGTTTTGCTCTGTGTTTATTTATTTCACATTGGCTAGGGTAATAGGGGAGGGTCGTGATCTCACAAAACGTGTTTGTCCACGTTGCATTTTTGCGCCTGTCCCAAGTCAGGAACCTCTAGCCTTTGTTAGTCTTGTGTGTGTTTGTTTTTTTGTTTGTTTTTTTTTTTTTTTTTTGATTCATTTGTATGTTTCGGAGTTTGGGTTGTCATCCATTTCGCTGAACTAGAATTCATTATTGTTTAGGGATTAGCTGAAGCCCGCCTCCGAGTGCGGAATTTTCTCGCTGCGTTGGAGACCTATAGGGTTGTTTTCTGCTCTTTGGTCTTTGACACATTCCACGTTTCCATTCTTTATTCTATACCTTATGTAAATTAGTCATCTAAGAAAGCTGAAGTATTTGATTCCAATTGGCCTGATATTAGATATAAGAAGATGTGGTATCTGATTGTCTACAGAGCTAATCGACTACAAACACAAAGTGATGGTAATATTTGTCATCGTCTTTTAAGTTCATGTTTTTCAACTAAAAAAAAACAAAGGTGAAAAAGAAGTTGTCATTAATGTAAGAAATCAGCCCTTATTGTGTACAATGTATGTGAAATTCATTTTATTTCATCATAAACCACTTGTTAACTTTTAGATATATTGAATAAAAACGTTGAATACTAAATATGAAAATCAAACGAAAATCCAATTTAGGCATATTATATATACCTTTAGGGTCGTTCAAATTTTCTTTGCTATCGATAAGTTTAGCATAGTCAGCTAACAGATCTGCCAAGTCATCATTCAGAGTTTCTTGGAACGCATTGTAAAGACACTTTACACTACGTGGACCGCGTCTATCCAGAGTGTCCAAGATTAACCTATTTTTATTTTCTGTCTCAGGTTCTTGCTTAATCAAAAAAGAATTAAAATGCGATTAGAATGCTGAAAACATATTTTTTTTCAATAATGTAAATATTTTATGTTATTAATACATCTATTACTAGGATTATAAACAAATTTCGGAAAGCCTTTTTTATTCGGAAAGCCTTTTGCGTTCGTAACGGCAGAAAAATCACCCAACAAATGTGTACATATGTTATATGTCCTTTGTTGTTGTATTTTCAATTAACAAGAAGTATTACATATACACTACCAGGAAGTTCTTCAGAGTTAAATTTCCAATTCTATTACGTTCATGGCTCTGTGCTAAAATGAGGATCAAATAATAGACAACAATATCACTACCGCGCTAATGCCTCCCCTGAAAATTTGAAGGTCCCTGTGTAGTGTATGTTTTTCATATACTTAAAAGACATAAAAAAAAAACAGTCAAGTGTTGACTTATTTCGGCTTCTTTTAAAAGTTCTTAAACTTATCTTTCTGTCCTTTTAATAAATTCACGGACAACTTTTAAGAAATAAAAATATTATTGCTTTTGATTAATCTATGAAAATCATATTTGATTTTTTTTTTTATTTTTGAAATCTAAAAAAGTCTTTTGAGTGTTTTACAATGTTTTAGATACAAGTAAATTATGAGGTTAAATGGTACTTTTTAAATCGGTTGAAAGTTATAGTATTTAAAGATCACAAATGTACCAGTTACTCAATGTCGGAAAATCTTACCTGTACCGCATCTCGCATTTCCTCTGTAAATATGCTATCGCTAAAAAGATAGCCAGCTACATCGTCTGGGTTGGCTAAGTTCTTCACAATTTGAGTTCTGTTTGCTCTAAAAGCCTTTTTCCAGTCAGCCATGTTTGGCTAAAAAACAGGTGTAACCGGAAAAACTGTAAATGGAAATTTATATTAATACACTATACTAGATGAATCAGAAATATTATATCATTGTAACAGATATTCTTTCCTGAATATGGGCATGGAACTCTTTCTTTGTTTTATTTTAGTTAAAATCTTTTGACAAAACAAACATATCAAATCGGACTGAAATCATAGAGAAGAAAAAAAAACCTGTTTTATATTTATTTCAAACTTATAAATTCTGTTATTTATAAAAACTAAACAAGAGAAGATAATATATTTGATTCTGCCAATAATGGAGCCCTCTTTTTTATTAAGCCAGTTATGGCGCCGGAATGCTGAGCATAGTTATGAATCGCAAAATAGAATAAGTGCATGGAGGTAAACAATCTTTGATGAACAGTCATTTGTTAGCATAAATGAGAAAATAGAGGCAAAAAAGAAAATGAATATAAACATGGTAGGATACATAATATCAAAGTATATACCTACAAGGAGTCACACTGATAACAAATGCTGATATTTGATTAAAAAATGTAGATGTGGTATGATTGCCAATGAGACAACAATCCATTTAGGACTACATACGACTATTTATGTGTATATTAAACACAAATTAATCTGTCTTTTGCTTAATATAATATAATAATTATGTTCTATTTCGTATAATTCAAATACAGTAAGTGTGTATTCATAATTACAAATTTATCCTCTGAAGACATCAACAAAATAGATTTATTCTAATCTGACGTATTTTTTTTTAGATTTAATTTTTTTCTTATTTATCAAAATATTTATCTAGCTCTACATTAAAGAATTGCAATAATAAAAAAAACGTTGTTCTCATCCTTTAAATCGGTTTTACATATTTTACAAATAGGGTCATTGGCTTCTTGGTGCAAGTACCTTTTCAATAATAAACAGTGGAAGCGACGGGATACAGAACACTTTGAATATATTTTTTTATATATAAAAACAGACATCAGCTGTAATGTGTCGAGTATTCGTATGTGAAAGTGTGGATGCCTAGGGTATTGCTATATTTACAATCCTACACTCGTGAAGGTTAACTCGCGTATTTTTCGAGATAACTGAATGAAAGATAGCTGGCTATGTGCACGAGGGTCTGATGTTAAACAACGACGACGAGGGGGGGGGGGGGGGGGGGGTCAACGACCTTGACTACCCATGAGGGTCTTGCACTGTCGGCTATGTAAAACAACCGTTTATTGTTAGCCTATCTATCAAATGTCAGGGACGATTGGTATGCGTGTGTAAAAGACTCAGTGTTAAATGTCAGATAAGTGTTGTTCAAAAAGGGTAGACGATGGGAAGTAGAAAATTGCGTTTTTTGTTTTATTTTTGTTATAATGGATGGGCTGTAAAAAATGAACTATGCTTAACGAACTTCACATTTATAATACTGTGGCAAGAAGAGTGTCATTACACATAAGAGGTTCCTAAATGAAAAACGAATATATCGTATAAAGTATAACGTTGATTTAGCTATTCTGTTTATGTCACTTTTGGTCTTACACATATAGCTCCTTACGTATTCAAATAACACTAGCAGTACCAATTTATTTCTCAATTATTGTCCCTTCAGTGATGTTCGGGTCCAAAATATTTGAACATCCAAAACCCGAAACAAACGTCGAAAAGCTGATAAAACAAAAAGGACCAACGGTAAAGCCAGAGCTATGCATGAGGGAGTATCATTCCTTAATTGGAAATCATTTTCAAAATTAAACAATATCCGTATTTTTCATGCCAGTTCTGAAGTCCTTGCTACCGGCCTGTTGATACCCTCAGTGACTAACATTTAATGTCTTTTTAGTGATGCCCGAACACCAAACTATTTGAAAAATCAAAATCTACTGCAAAAAGAGCAGGCCCAAACGTAAAGCCAAACGCGCACTTGGTTTAAATACAATTACGACCTCATTTTGGTTTCTGGTTGATAGTTGTCTCATTTGCAATCTAACGATATCTTTTTATCTTTATATAGAAATCGGAGCTATATGCATGCAATTGTTTCAAAAATTCTACAACTACAGTAGAAAACCTTATAATATAATAATATCCGTGTTTTCATACAAGTACCAAAGTACAGGCAATTGCAATTTGACGTTTGATACCTTTGAGGACTAACATTATCAATACATTGCTTTCAATGGCTTTCAAATATTTTTTGGGTTCGATTATTTCCGACGAAAAATATTGAAATCAATAAAATTGCTCCAGACGCAGCAAATTTATAAAAAAATGTTTTCATAAGGCATTATGGATTTATTTTATGCCTGCAACTAACATAAGCTCTGTAGAGATTTTAACCGACATATACATCTATGCATATATATGTCAACTGTCGGTCACTGTAACAATTATTTCATAATAAGAAAGAACACATAATTTATATATAGACAAGGAAATGTCAATTCAGAGTAACACATGTAGTAAGCTTATATATTTTGTTTTCTTTGTTAAAAATTACCAATAACTTTCTCATAATTACTTTTTTGTTCAGTAGTACTGTTTTACATGCACTCGTTTGTTGGCTGCCCTATCAATAATATGGAGTAAAGTGCTTTTATTATCCTCTTCGTACTTTGTTTTATTCTTACTGATCAGAACAAACGGTGGGACTTTAAAACCAGATAAGACTGGCTACATGATTATGTCCCAAATAAGAAGCAACAGAAATATGCCGATGTTAAAACCCATGGCCACTAAATTCAATTTTGTGTAGACTCGGACCAAATTAGAATCTGAAATATTCATTGTTGTTAGAGTCGCATGTTAATTTATATAACAGTCTGAAAGTTAATATTTTGTGTCGTTATGTTTCTGTTTTAACTGGCATAAACCTTTAATCTCTTTTTACCAAAACCTTATGGATTCCTCATCGTGTTGCCGTGTTACATGTTCTTAGAGCATGCGTGGAATGGAATATAATTTCTATTCTTATGTATCGGATTCGTGGAAAATGAAGATATGAAAAAAATAAAACATTATTTAAAAAATACAACAATGATAATGATTTTGAGTTAAAACTATGAACACTGTCCGTTATAACACACCAAAAAATCATATGTTAATGAAAAAGTATAGAGTAAAACATTTGTAAAACTGAAACGATTTCATTAGACGTATTTCCCTTGCATAAGTAAACGAAAAAAGTACCGAAAAAGATTTTACTTTTCGTTCTGTACTATAGCATGTATAGACATTTTGAAGTGTCATTAAAGAAACTTCTCTGCATAGAATTAAATGCTGGAACTTTGTTTACGTTTTTGTTTTATACACATTATTGGACAGATCAATAAACATATATACTTACATTTTATACACCTACACAATAAACTTCCTCATTCAGCCATGGAGAAATCTATTATTATACCCGTATATAGGTCATTGTCTCCGATCAAGGATTTGTCAGGTCAATTTAAAAAAAAAAGGGGGGGAATGACAAAAAAACGCCTGAAATTTATTTTTATCTGAAAATATTAATTTCCTTCTTGTTGTTTATGTTGTTTTTGCGTTGATAAAAATTTCCGGTTGTAATAAAAAGCATGTATTGTTTTAAAGTTTAAAGTTTAACTTGTTTTTAAATTTTAATAATTCATTTATGTGGTACATTTGTACGTATAATCTTGTTTTGGTTTTCTTTATTGTCTTTCCATTCGGACTTGATAGAACCATACAGATATATTTGCGTTACACTTTATCATGTTTATAGCCTTCATTGACACATTTTGAGGGTTCAACCAAAAAGAGTTTTATACCATTCCGTATGACTTGGTCATGTTGGTGGTCTTGAGCCTAAAATTGTTATTTTAAAATATTTTGCACAACAAGAAAAGGAATTATATAAATGTATACCCAGCAACAGAATTGCCTTGTGAATTAAAGCCGATAACAGCATAAATCTCGTCAAATTATCTCAATAGAACGGAGGGATAATGATTCTAATTGGCTAAAGGTTTTCTTCCATGTGGCGAATTATTAAGTATATGTATGAGTTATCCTCCTTTGTATACTGTATGATCTGACTCTCTTTCTTTTATTATTGAACTTTTTTTTTGTCTGTTATGTGTATAATAATCGTAATTATATTGCATTGTCTGTATTTGTAACTTGATTGGTATGCTTGTAATGAGCAATATGATTAGGAAAATAAAAAATATTCTATTCTATTACATAGCCCTCCCTCGAACTGCCCACACCTAATTATCCTATCATTTTTTTAAAATTCTTTTCTATACGGTCAAATTAATAAATAAGCCGCTGAAATTTTGGTTGTTGTTTAATATCAAACTTATATATGTCATCTCCCCTTCCACCCATTTATCTTCAAATTGGACAATTAGAAAGTTCAGTTGATTTAAGATTGAGGGTTGCATAATTCATGCATGGCATTGCAAATACACGGAATCCCAGGAATTTGACGTCCGCACTCATATTAGTTAATCTCCGCGCATCCTGATAACTATTAAAAAAAGTGTCAGCGTCACGCTACGAAATCGTATTTCCTCATGTTTGTTAAATGTTTTGGAAATATGATGTGAAGTTTGGATGCGCAATATTTGACTGATATATAGAAAGTTATGTAGTGTTCGATTTTGTGGACTTAAGAGCAACTCTTTTTCTCAATTGTTTTTTGAATAAACAAGCAACTTAGATAAATAAAACAACCCATTTTCTGGAGATAAAACACTACAATACATAAACAAATGTTTGTAATTAATTCCTATATTTCTATTTGACCGAGGATTTTTTAATTCTGTAATATTCCCAATTCTGTAATTCTTTTTGCTGATGATTACTCATAGATTGAGTTCAAATCATGAAAAAATTAAAGCATTATATTATTAAGATAAATTTGAAAACATTTTTCAGAGCAAAAATATTTGAAAAATAGTGGAGATACAACACTATAAAAATACGTTTCTCTGAACTTCTAGGGTCCAATTAGGTGAATAAGCTGTTATAATTCAATTGGAAGTGTTCAGATCGAACAGTATAGTTTTGACAAAAACTCATAGAATGTAGAAATATCGCATTAAAGCTGTATAAGGAGATAGACCATCGAATCTCAAATATATAACTATCTCCATTTTTATGAAAAGTGGACATAAAACACTATAAGACTCACACGACGACTCTGGGAATTTACAATATTATCATTTGTACTGAAGGCTGTTCTTCTAATCAGCACCATGCAACACAGCTCCATAAACGGTATCGGTCTAAAAAAATGTTTCTGTTAATTGTCCCAGAAGTTCGTTTCCTCTACTGGATATTGTGTTATTGAAAATTGCTGTTACAAAATTTTGGAAAGTATTTTAAATTAATAAATATATCTCCCTCATGCAAAAAGCTCTGATTCCTTGCCCAGATTTGGCTATACTTTTTGTCGATTTGGTTTATAAGCTATTCATTTTTTTTTAATAAGTTTTTGATTTTCAAATATTTTGGACTATGGCATCGCTGAATGACATTTATTGTCGAAATGTGTATCTGATGCAGTAAAATTGGTAGCGTTCATATTATTACTACACTGGAGACTTCTTTATAACATTGTAGATTTCAGTCACGTAACCCATGGTGATCAAACACACATTTTTAGAATAGAGAATTGAAAGGGGGATGTGTCAAAGAGACAACAACCCGACCATAGAGCAGAAAACAGCCTAATGGGTCCTCAACGCAGCGAGAAAATCCCGTACACGGAGGCGGGCTTCAGCGGTCCTCTAAACAATAATGTATACAAGTTCAGCGAAATGAACGCCGCAACACTCCGAAACATACAAATGAACCAAAATTAAAAAAAAGAACACTAGACTAACAGAGGCTAGAGGTCCCTGACTTGTTACAGGCGCAAAAATGCAGCAGGGTTAAACATGTTTGTGAGATCTCAACCCTCCTTCTATACCTCTAGTCAATGTGGAATAAACAAACACAAACCAATACGCATAGTAAAACTCAGTTAAAAAGAAGTCAGAGTACGATGTTAGAATAAGTAACAGAAAAAAACTAAGCAAAATGACACTGATCAACATAAATTAACAAAGTTGTTGTTTTATCATTAAAAAGTAAATTTATTTTGTTTTGAATTAGGAAAATCAAAATGTGTTGAAAGTTATGCTTTCTAATCAAGTAATCGTCAAATAATCAAATTTATTGGCCTTATAATGATGTCTTCAAAACCCATAAGTGCCCCATTAAAGGATCCCATGTTGAACCTAACTATACATCCGGAAATCGATGTAGTCGGGTCTATGGATACATTAAGAATACTAATGTTGCCTTAAGATGGGGTTTTGTAAATAAGTGAAATAGACATTTAATTGACTGGTACTCTACGATATCGATTGGGAAAACAATTTATCAAAAGAAATTTAAAAACAAGTAAAATTCCTTTAAATATAATTTTTAGTTTGGTTGTTTACCAAGAAAGACGTGAGTACAAAGGTTTTCAATTATCTAGTTTTTAGTTTAAATCATATTCATGTCTTTTTAAAGTGTTTTGAAAGAATATTTTTCCCAGTAAGAATTGTACATTTTTCATATTCTCTCTTGTAATTTCATGTTCTTCAAAATCATTCATTTTGATATGATACGGGAAGGCAGCAGGAATATGTTATACACTCTCATTCTATTTAGGCAAATCACTTAATAAGTTAGCAAATGAACTGCCCTTATTTTATTCATCTTGAAGTCTCTGGAATATCCCCATAGATGAGTTTGGTCAAATGGTTTGAGGTCAACGTATGTGAAAGTAATTCAATGTCAGTTTCTTGTTTCGTTTGCGTGAATACACAATTAATTTAAAAGCGACCATGCAGCCAACACGAAAGAAGAAAACACACATACACAGACACACATCCATCAACTAACCACATCATACAGGTTGGTGTCATTTGTAATCCCACAGGATTCTTGTTTAACATTTGCATCCAGCATACCATACATCAAAATAGAATGTTTTTATTGTGAACACTTTGAGGACATACACATGACGGAAGTTTCTGAAACAATTGTATGCCTGTTCTTGGCAACATATCATTCAAAAACATACCACCATGTCCACGTAAAACACAGATTAATTTATTTAGTCACGGTTATGTGACTTCCAGTGCAATTATATTGTTCAGGACGAAAATAATTAACAAATAATACAATAAGAAGTTTCTGCGATATTGGTCAACCGAGATGAAGTGCAGGAAATTTGGACAGCCACTTGACAATGATGGTTTGTTGGATAGCGACAGAAATTTTGTCTTGCAACAAACCACCTACATACCACTCGGATAGTTATTGCAATGGTTTAAAACGTGCAGATAGCCTGACACTCTACCCATACGAGTTACCGGATTTAACGTTCACATTCTGACCGGACTTGGCTGTGTATTTATACATCCCGCTAGGCCAAAAGGAAGTCCCACTTTAGCAAGGATTTACTATAGGAATCGAGAAGTCCGGTTCTGACAATATTTTCTATATCTCAGTTAACATTTGAGATGGCAAAACAAAAACAAAGACAAACTCAACTTATTATCAGAGGTCATATTTTAAGGATGTCGTTCACAAATCTTGGCATTCGTTGAGGGACAGCATTTCGTTTGAAAAAAGAGAGTCAAGATACCAAGGGAACAATCGAAACTCATAAGTCAACAGGCAAACCCATGCCGAAATTAAAACGGAGGATAGACCAAATACAGTAACAATTTTAAAATTTGACACGGATACAAGATTGATCAACACAGACCCCACTAGAAACCGCGGATGAAGGAGAACTCGGTCACACCGGAAGGATCATCAGTTTCTTCTCCACATTTGACACCCGTCGTGTAACTCTTAACATGGATAAAGGAGAACTCGTGTACACCGAAAGGATCAGCAGTGTCTACTCTACAATTGACACCCGTTGTGTAGCTCCGGCTTAACATGGATGAAGGAGAACTCGTGTACACCGAAAGGATCAGCAGTGTCTACTCTACAATTGACACCCGTCGTGTAACTATTAAAATGGAGAAGGGAGAACTCGTGTACACCGGAAGGATCAGTAGTTTCTACTCAACATTTGACACCCGTCGTGTTACTCTTGTTACGATGATGAGTCATTTCCAGTGATTAGGCATCTCATGATCGCGAAATGATATATGTATTGTGTGGCTCACCTTTCACCAAGAATTTAAAAACATCGGTATTAATAAGGGGTTAAACTAGCCATTAATCGATCCTACTTTTTTCATTGATTTATTGCTGAAGTTATCTCTCTTTCCTTGTGTTTTCAACACTACCACATTTCCCAAGTCAGGAGCCTATAACTCATTGGTTGCTGTCTATTATATTGGGTTTTTATTTATTCGTTTGTAATTAATCAGACAATTTGTTTTTTGTTTGAATTGTTTCACATTTTGTCACATCGGGGTCTTTTAAAGCTGACTAAGTA